TGTGCTGTACGAATGTCCAGGTGTATATTAGAGCTGACAAGGGGCAAGGTTATGGTGGCTTCTTGACCACAGCCAGTAACCCTGAGCAAGCGAGTAGTTGGACCTGTGTGCTTGGGACCATGATCTCAGGGAACATCAAGCTCAGTTGGCATAACTACAAAAAACGTTCTACATCCTACTTTGGTGAGTAGCAACTGGGGCCTTAACAGCCTGTGAGCGGCCATCTAGATGCAACAATGGGTCTCTCGTCCAGAGCAAAGAAGAATGAAGAAAACCAAAGACACATGGAAACAGTTCAAGAGACTGATTGGCCATGCGATCCTCAACCTATGTGACCATGAGACAAAAAGAACTAACTAGATGATGCCCAGCTACCACCGTCAACCACTTGGAGGGAGATCAGTGCAGGAGATCCTGGATAGAGTGGGAAAACAATGTGAAACAAAACTCAAAATCTTAAGAAAGACAAGATTTGCTAGTCTGATAGAGCCTGGTGAGACCCCTGAAACTATAGCCCCTAGCTACCCTTGAACTTATTCCTGGCTTCTAGCCAAACAATAGATGGGCATATGGGATGAACATTTACATCAGGTAGATAACTCCTTGGAGTGATCAATCGTGGGAGAGCAGAAGGACCGTGTTTGCATAGGGAGACTGGGAGGCAGGAGTGCATGGGAAGGAGGGACACATGGAAGAAAAAATTATTACATCTTATCAATTCTTTGTGAAATAGGTGGTATTATGAAAAGGAAGGTCTTAAATATTATGCCAAGATTTAAGTAAGTGGACAAATTATGTTTTTTTTGTTTTGTTTTAATTTTTATTGTGATTTGGGTGAAAGTTTACAGAGCAAATTTATTTTCCATACACCAATTCATACACATTTTGGTCATGACATTGACTGCAATTTCCCACAATGTAACAGTTCTCTTTCTACTTCCTCCCCCATAGTTACCTCTTCCCTGTGTCCTTCCCTCCCATGCACTCCTGCCCCCCGAGCTGTCTCCCTGTGCTTACACAGCTCTTCCATTCTCCAATGATTGATCTCTCCAAGAAGTGTATCTACCTAAGGGAAATTTTGAGCTCATGCCTGTCTTTTGTTTGGCTGGAAGCCACAGGAGTAGGCTCAATTCCAGACCTGAAGGGCAGCTAGGGGGCCATAGTCTCAGGGGTTCCACCAGGTTCTATCAGACCAGCAAACCTGGTCCTTTTTTTAAAAAAATATAATTTTGAGTTTTGTTCCACATTGTTATCCCACTCTATCCAAGATCATCTACATAAATCCCTTTCCAAGTGGTTGGCAGTAGTAGCCAGGCACCACCTAGTTCTTCTGGTCTCATAGTCATATTTTTTGCATCTTCTTAGAGGTATTCTTTGAAATTATTTTTGACTCTGACCAAAACTTTAATAAGGGCCAGTTATTTTATTTTTATTATGATTTGGGTGCAAATTTACAAAACAGATTCATTTTACTCTCAATAGTTCCTGCACATTTGATTTTCCAGCCCCATTACAATCCCCAACCATTTAAAAAAAAAAAAAAACTCTCCTCCCAGTTACTGCCTCTTCCCTGTACCCTTATCTGTTCATTCCTTTCTGTCCAGCTTTCCCTCCTGTGAATGCTGCCCCTTTGATGTCTCATGGCTGATTGATCTAAGGGATGAATCTCCCTGGGGTAGGTGTTCTGCTTGTAGGTCTTTCTGGTGTTAGGCTGAGAGCTAGTCCACAGAAGTGAGTCCATTTTCAGGCCCGAAGGATAACCTGAGGCCATAGTCTTGGAGGTTCCACTAGGCTGTCTGACCAGTAATTCTGGTCATTTTCGTGTTTTTGAATTTTATTCCACATTTTCCCCCAACTCTATTCAGGATCTCCAATTTCATCCCTTTCTGAGTGGTTAACATTGGTAGCCAGGCATCATCTAGTTCTGACTTCAGGGTGGTGAAGCCTGAGGTCCTTGTGGTCTGTTTTTATCTTTGGACTAATTATTTTAAAATGACTGAATTTCTTCACTCTTCTTTGCTCCAGGGGCCAGTCATCTTATATTTTAGTAAATGTTTGTATTGCCTAAAGAATTGGTGTGATAATTTTACAATGTAAAGTTTTTCTGTTTTAGCCTTTGGTGATAAAAAGGCTAAGAAGTGGATTTTATTGTTCAGAATTAGTAATTTTATGCAAGACAATGAATGACATGCTTCTTATTTTCTATTTTTACATTAACTGCTTTATATGTGTGTGTATGTTGGTATATTTAAAGCAATTGCCTTAGATGTGTTGTGGAATGGGTAAGGTGTAAAAAATACTACAGATAAGTGTGCAACATATATTAATCCATGCCACAAACTCAGGTTTACAAGAAATGTAACTTTTTTTTTCCCCCATGTAAATCAACAGAATTTCCATTTTGAGCCCCTGTACATTCTGCTAAGGAGCTCTGGTAATGCAGTGGTTTAAACATTCAGCTGCTAATCAAAAGGTTGGCAGTTTGAACTTACCAGCTGCCCTGCAGGAAAAAAGTCTGTTTCTGTGAAGATTTACAGCCTGGAAACCCTATGGGACAGTTCTACTGTGTCCTGTAGTGTCACTATGAGCAGAATTGACTAGATGGCAGTGGGATTGGTTTTGGTCGTTCTGCTAGATTATAGAAACTAAATTTCAACTATTTCAAGGTTTCCTCATCACCTTCCCTATGGGGTTATATGTAGCTTGGGGACTATTTGGGTGCTATGTACTGGTGATATGTATAATCTTCGTGCTTCCAATCTGATGAGGTGTTTTAATCTTTATTTGTTCTCTGATAATAGTTCTCTGCAGGTTTCTGCTGTGACTTCCTTTACCCTACTTAAGTCACTGGCTTTCCAAGTCATGTCTATGTGCACTGAGGGCATGGGATATCATTCTATATTCCCATGTCATTCTTGGGTATAGGAACGGAGGGGAGCTTTGTTAGACTTGTACAGACTCCTCTGCTTAAATACACCATGTAGATATTCTGCTTGCTCCACTGCAACACCTTTCTCGGCACAGAAAGAATTCTGTGAGCCTTTCTGCTTCTCCAGAGCACTAGGGTTGGGAGCAAATCTACATGGGGGCTTCTGTTATTCTGCCTGCTAGGGGGATTCAGCCTGCAGGAAACAAGATGTGGGACCATTTCTCAGGGATTCCATTAATGTCTAAGCTCTCTTAGCTTCCTTCTGGCATATCTTTCCCCTTCCCTAATATATTCTATTGAAACTTTAGTTTAAGGTATAAGAACAACTGATACACATAGTCTTCTAAATCTTTAGTCTTAAATTCTAACTTCAACTTTCAAAACTCAGTACTGACACTCAGAATTTGTTTGTATTTTGCTGGATATGCACCATGATACAATTACTATACCTGACCAAGTGGGAGGAGGTACCTTAATTAATGTCTCAAAGTATATTTCTGTTAGTCTGGGTTGTCAAGAGAAGCAAAATCAGTAAAGCTTAAATATATATATAGAGAGAAAGAAATTTATCTTATGAAAATGGCTCATACACTAATAGAAGCGGGCAAGTCCCCAAGTTCTTGCATCAAACATCAAGCTGGAGGCTTTTCCCGACTCACACAGCTGTAGGGGCTATCAAGTTCAAGGTTGGCAGGCAGTATACTGGCTGTTGACTTCCAACGAATGACGAATCCAAGATCACCAGGCCAAATGGTGGATTGTTCTCTCAGAATAGTTGTAGGCAGCACAAGATCCTGATCCATAGACGAGTCTCATTTTCCCAGGATGTCCATAAATATATTGGAAGCAGGCCACACCCCTAGGGAAATTCCCTTTCAACGGATTGGCTGCTCAAAACATACACATCCAGTTTCATCATGGGAATAATCCACATCACAACTGCTTAAATCACTAAGAATGGTGGTCCAGCCAAGCTGACACACAACTCCAACTATCACAGTATTCCCACTGTAGATATAAATACATGTTGTTGTTGTTGTTATTTGCCGTCAAGTCAGCCCCGACTCATAGCGACCCCTCCTTGGGTTTCCGAGGCAGTATCACTACGGAAGTAGGATTGCCCAACCTTCCTTCCGAGGAGTGGCTGGTGGGTTTGAACCGCCAGCCTTCTGGTTAGCAGTCAAGTGCCTTAGGCACTATGCTACCAGAGCTGCTAGATATAAGTACATGTTGTTGTTGTTGTTATGTGCCGTTGAGTCGGCCCCGACTCATAACGACCCCTCCTTGGGTTTCCGAAGCAGTATCACTACAGAAGTAGGATTGCCCAAACTTCCTTCATAAGTACATAGGAAAGTGTAATTCTTTATTTAATTTTCCTTCTTAATACAATATGTTTACATTTTTAACATCAGATTATAAATTCTTTGAAGTAGAGTCCTGTCAGGTATTTCTAATTCCTCAAAGTACTTAGCCAGAAGATCCTCAGTAACTTGATTTATTATGACATTAAGAATACTGACTTAAGAAACCTGGAACTGAACCCACTCTGGGGATGACCTTTCAGCCAAACAATAGACAGACCTATAAAGTGAACAATAATACCCACAAGGAATGGAATCCAATCAACTGTATGAGATCATTTGCTCAAAAATACAGTTCAGAAGGCAGGAAGCACCAGGAAAGAAGGACAAATGGAAACGAGGAATCCAAGGAGAAGTGGGGAAGAATGCTGTTATATTGAGCATTAGTTAATTACAATTAGTGTCATGAACCAGAATGTGTATAAATTGTTAAATGGGGAACTAATTTAAACCAGTTTTTAAAAAAGCATACTGGGTTACTTCACCATGATCGGGTAAAGAGAATTATTTATTAAGCATGAAAGCATGAGTCGGACTGGCTAGGTCTTTTGGTCAACTAAGATTGGCCTGAAAAAATAAAATAATCTCTGGTGTCAGATACTAAATTAAATGATCCAAACACAACTGAGGCTTATTAAAGGACTTTATTCATTTAAAAAACAGAAACCCAACTTCATTGCCAAAGGTTTTTCTTGTCTTCCCCTATTTAGGTCTTCTCAGAAGTTACCTCCAGGGAAAATGCCAATAAATGATCATGACTCTGGTGTTGAAGATGAAGATTTTTCTCCAAGACCAATTCCCAGTCCTCATCCATTAAGTCAGAAGGTATCATCAATCTTACAAAAAGCTTGCCTTTATGGTTAGAAGTCTAAAAGTTTCTGTTAAAGTACTAAATAATACTGCCTAAAACTATTATTTAACTAGTGTTCTAATATGTTATTGTTGTTGTGTGCCATTTAGTTGATCCTAACTCATAGTGACCGTATAGGTCAGAGTAGAACTGTCCCATAGTTTCCAAGACTCTAGTCTTTATGAAAGCAGCTGCATCTTTCTCCTACAGACAGGCTTTTGTGGGTTCAAACTGCCAACCTTTCAATTAGTAGCTGAGTGCTTAACCACTGTGTCACTAGGACTCCTTGTTCTAAGATATCTAGCTATATCTCTATACATCCATCTCTCTGTGGGTGTATCTATATATGTGTGTATGTATGTGTGTGTATATATGTAGATATATATATGTATATGAGTCTAAGAAGTACAGAAATTATTATGTGCAAAGAAAACTTACAGATTGGTTAAGTTACTTGCACAGAATCTCACAGCTAGTAAGTAGTAGAGCTAGGATTCCAATTCAGGAGGTTTGGTTTGACAATCTGGTGCTTTTAACCTCTGTACTGTACTGAATCAACATTTTGTACTGTCATCAGAGCTTAACATTAGTTTTTATTACCATATTCTGTGAAAATGTTCTGCTTGCTTTGGGAGGTTAATTGCTAATAACCCCTGACATCAGTGTTTGATTGCTACCAACATTGGATTATTTTGGAATGGTTGCTTATCTTATAAGCAACTACCAGTAATTGATTATTCTAGCAGAAAAAGAATGCCAAAGTAAGAAGAAAATAGTATAAAATTACAACCAAATTCACCACAGCAACTATTTTCTTTATTCTTTTCTGCGTAACTTTTTAGTGGAGAGTTTTTTTTTTTAAGAGTCTTTGTTATTTAAAGTACAGAAACATTTTTTTGCCACTAGAGTGATCAAAGCACTCTGCCTGTGATTGTATTTTTGCAGAGGGAAGGTAACAGAGTCTATTGTATAAAACAGTTTTCTGTCTTTTATCTTGTGATCTGAGTAGTGTTAATCAGTGTTCCAATAAAAGGTGTTTCATCATTAAAAAAATTTGGGAAATGCTTAGTCATGTTCTTTGAGGCCAAGGATCTTGTTTACTTTACTCACTTGCTCAGAACTGTAATTCTAGTGGCTAACACATAGACATGCCCAGAAAATATTTGTTGGCTATTTAAATAAAGATAAAAATGAATACTTTGAAAAATAGTTGGATATAGTATGGGAAAATACTCGTCTGAGGAAAGTGAGGCATATATCTCTCTCCTAAAAATTATTTTTTTCTCTTTGATTTCTTTATCATTTTTAGATGTCTAAGATCCAACCATCAGTTCCTGAGCTTTCGCTTGTGTTGGATGGCAATTTCATGGAATCAAACCCTCTGCCTAATCCATTGGAAATGATGTATAATGAAAATCCTCCTTTGTTGATTAACCATTCTGAACACGAGGAACCAATTCAACCCCAACTTTATGATGAGAAACACAACCCAGATGCTGAAGCTGAAGAGCCTTCCATGAAAGGGCTACCAAATCAATTGAACCAAAGCACTGCTCCTTTGAGACACTGCAAAGTTAGACAGCGAGCTACCTGTAAGAAAGGGAATAGCCACACCAGGAACAGTGTTAAGTCATCTCTTAATGGGGTATCTCCTGATACATCTGAAAAACTTCAAGCAGTTTCTGCTGAAAATGGACAAAGAGAAGAGTATTCTGTAAGACCCTCCACATTTAATTCTAGGCAGTCTTCTTTTGCCTCACAGTCTCATCCGCACAATTTTCTTTTTTCATCCCATAATTCAGGAAGACTGATGGAACTTCAGATACCTACTCCCCCCCCGCCAACGTACTATTCCACAAATGTTTGCAGTTGTTGTCAGCATCATGGCCCTATCCCATATAGTCCAATACATTCTTGGCAAGGAATGAATACAGTAGGATCCATTCAGGAACTCCAATGTGAAGCCTTTCAGAAGCATTCATTATTTCATCCAAATGGATGTCCAGCTATGTGCCATAATGCATTCTGTTCTTCAAGTAGTCCTATAGCCATGAGATCCCAAGGAAACATGGGTAGTTATTCTCCCCACAATGGTGTAGAACCATCCCCTGTGGTGAGACTGCCTTCACATGTGGACTCACGTAACCCACAACCTTGTGCAATGTGTATGCATACTCCCAAGACTGGATCAGATAATGGAATGATGGGACTATCTCCAGATGCTTATAAATACCTTACGGAACAAGACAGACAGCTGAGACTACTGCAGGCTCAGGTTTGCTTGGGGCTTTCTTATGTTGCTAAATTACTGATATAACCAGACTTCTTAAAAATAACTGGCAGCTGTCTTCAGTAATTACATTTTGTAGAGTGGAATCATCCAAGGGCAGAATAAGAAGGGACCTGGAAACATAATTTTAGTTTCTCTTGTTTTACAGATGAGTAAAATGAGGATTAGAGAGACAAAATAATTTACCGAGTACCACACTGCTAGTTAGTAATAGAGCCAAGACTAAAACAGGAAGCCTTCTTTCTGTCTTGTGCTAATCGTAATCTACAACATCATAAAGGCAGTTTTCTTTCCTTTTTCCCCTCAATGAAAAATCTGAATAATTTACTAAACCTTTATATACAACTAAAACCCCACTGCTATCGAGCTGATTCCCACTTATAGTGACCCTACAGAACAGAGTAGAACTGGCCCATAGGGTCTCTAAGGCTGTAAATTGTTACGGGTGCAGCCTGCCTCATTTTTCTCCTGTGGAGTGGCTGGTGGGTTCAAAACACCTACCTTTTGTTTAGCAGCTGAATGCTTTAGTCACTGTCCACCAGAGCTCCTTAAAGGCTGTATGTATGTGAATTTTGATAGAACTCGGGTCGGATCTGACTCGACGGCAGTGAGTTTGGTTTTTGGGTTTTGTGTTATATATACTAAGTCTTAGTCAGTGTAATTGAAGGGAATAGTTCTAGAATGTCTTCTGTTATCTATAATGGACTTGTTTTGCTCATTTGTTTTGGGATGGTTTCATTCTTCAGGGCCTTTACTGCAGAATTCTTAGGTTTTGTTTTTTACTTACATCCTGGCACAAAATTCAGTCTAGAAGTATCGTATGTTTTTTGTTTTTTGTTTTTTTTTCCTTACCGACATCCTTCCTCTACCTACCTACCCAAGTTAACTGCTTTCCTTCTAACATCACCAATGTGAACAACCTGGAATATATTACATATTTTTTTCCTTTGATCCTATAACTAGGCAAATATACATTTGATGTACATATATATGTATTTGTGGTTTTAAAAACAATCTTTGTTTTATAAAATTAGAATTACATTTTTGCACTTTGCAGATAAAAAAAGGCAATGACATTTTTCATATTCTACTTAAACACACTTTAGATAGGAATACTTGTGACAAATTTAGCTTTGCTGTGTTTTAAATCTAACCTAAATTCTTTGAAATTATAAAATTTAAGTTGGACCATAATAAATGATTATAAACATTTAGCAAACATTTTAGTGTGGCTAAATTTTTTCACCCTGAAAAGATTTCTTTCATTTATTTATTCCCCATATTGTTTAAAAAAAGACTTAATGAGAGGTTAAGAAGATCTTTTAAGCTACTTATAAATCTTAGTTTCTTGGGTTTTATATACTTAAAATCTAGTAATGTAGACCATTGACTCTAGCTAAATTACCTGAATCACTGTACTTTGAAAATAAAAATTATGTTGTACAAAGTGCTTCTGTGATAAACATATATAGTATTTCTTTCACATGTGAGCTTTTTTTTTTAAGGTAACATTTTATTTAAATTTTTAAAAATAGTACTGAATGTGAAGTAAAAGAAATAGTCTTCTCTCACCACAGATAAACACTGTCAGCAGTTTATAGGCTGTTTGCTGTATACATACAATAAATATGCTTGTGATCACCATCACACTGCCACACACATGACACCTTTAAAACAATGGAATCATAACATTCATACTATTCTATCACTTACTTTTGCGTTAAAAAAAAAACACTTAAATATTTTTCTATATAGGTAGATATAGAATTACGTTATTCTGCATAGTATTCCATTATAATGATGTTCAACGATTTTTCTAATTGACTTTCTATTGATTATTACAGGCATTCAAAGTTTTTGCTGTTGCAACCATTGCAGCAGTGCATGTCCTTATATTTACATCTGCTTGCATTTGTACAAGTATCTCTGTAGCATGTTGTTGTTGTTATTTGCCATTGAGTCGTACCCGACTCATAGTGACCCCTCCTTGGGTTACCGAGGCGGTATCACTACGGAAGTAGATTGCCCATCCTTCCTTCCAAAGAGTGGCTGGTGGGTTTGAACCGCCTTTGAACCTTCTGGTTAGCAATCAAGTGCCTTAAGCACTATGCTACCAGAGCTCCTATCTCTGTAGCATAGATTCCTAAAAATAAAATTATGAGGTGAAAAGGCACATACTATTTAAATGTTAAAAGATACTGAACCATGTTCCTTGCCTAACATTCTAAGGCTCATTTTGATGTAGGTAAGTATCTTACCTCTCTGATCTTAGTTTTCTCATTTACAAAATAAAGATATATATATAGAGAGAGAAAGCAGATCCCTCAAACATATCTATTATGCATTTCCACAGAGTCAAAGTGGCAAAATGGTTAAGCGCTTGTCTACTAAGCAGAAGCCTTTCCACAGGAAAAAAGACCTGGCAGTCTGCTCTTGTAAAGGTTTTAGCCTAGGAAACCCAGGGGGGCAGTTTTGCTCTGTCGTATAGGGTGGTTATGAGTTGGAATCAACCAGGCAGTAGACAACAGCCACCACACAAATGGCCCCTGCACACATACACATACATATGTACATAAATCTGTATAGGGGTCTAAGGATTAGATGAGTTACTACATGTGAGCTTAGAATAGTGCCTATATAGGTGGGAGCTCTGCTAGTGTAGTGCCTAAGGCACTTGACTGCTAACCAGAAGGCTGGCAGTTCAAACCCACCAGCCACTCCTTGGAAAGAAGATTGGGCAATCTACTTCCATAGTGATAGCGCCTTGGAAACCCAAGAAGGGGTCTCTGTGAGTGCTCATTAAATGTTATTTTCATTATCATTATTATCTCAGTTAATGGCGTCACATCTCATATAGTCACAGACCAAAAACCCAGGCTCTACTTTCTGGATGAGTCCTGAACCTCCCCATTCTTTACCATCTCTTCTTCTATCACCCTAATTCAATCCATTGTCTTCTCTTACTCGTAAGTGCTGTTTCTAATTCTGTCCCCTCATTCTTCCTACAGTTGGAAGCACAGCCACCTTTATAAAAGCTCCAGTCAGATTATAGCATTCCCGCTTAAAACCCTATAATCATTTTTTATTGCAATTACAATAAAGTAAAATTCCTTACTTTGGTCCTCAAAGCCCTTTGTAATCTGGCTTCTGTCTGCTTCTTCCAACTCATCTCTTACCAGTGTCATCCATATTCGCTACATTTGAGCTATGCACTGGTATAATTTTTGTTCTTAAAGCATGCTAGATGTTTCCACTATAGGTTTTTTTTTTTTAAACTTTTGCTGTGTTTCTTCCCCTCCCCTCCTACCCCTGATAACCAACAAAGAAAGTTTCCTTCCATATATAAACCTTTCCTTGACTTTTCACAATAGTGAACTAATACAGTATTTCTCCTTCAGTGGTTGTCCACTGTAGGTTTTTATGCTTCCAAGTTCACTATGCCTGAAACATTTCTCCTCTACTTCTAATAGCTAGCTCATTCTCATCATTTAAACCTATTTATATGTCGGTTTTTATTTTGTTTTGTCTATCTGCAATAGAAAGTAAGCTATAGGGAGGGAGCTTACATTTGTCACTATATTCTTAGCACCTAGAGTAGTACTTGACATGTAATAGTTGGCTTAATGCGTTTCCTACTTCTGTAGAGATACTACCTCAGAAACCCAAGGAGGTGTCACTGTGAGTCAGAAACGACTCGATGGCAGTGTTTGGTTTGTTTGTTGCTTTTGTTAACTTGAGTGAGTGAAAATGACCACCAGAAAGCTTATACCAATTTAATACTGTACTACAAAACCATTTTTCCACATCTTTTCCAACTTTGGAGACTGTACAGGACAGAATAGAACTGCCGTATGGGATTTCCTAGACTGTAAACTTTACGGGAACAGATTGCCAGGTCTTTTCTCCCAAGGAGCTGCTTGCAGGTGTGAAGCACCAACCTTTCGTATAGCAGCTGAGCACTTAACCAGTGTGCTACCAGGGCTCCTAACATTGCATATTATCAACATTAAATTATTGTCAGTCATATATTGAAACTGGTATCTTGTTTTAATTTGAATTGTGTTATTATGAGTACAATTGATCATTTTATCAGCCATTTGTATTTTCTGTGTGAAATGTCTGTGTCATTTGCCCATTTTTCCATTTAGTTTTTTCCTAATTAATGTATAAGAGCTCTTCATATATTAAGGACATTATTTCTTTATCATATATGTGATATTTCTTACAGTTTGTCTGAAGCGTTTTATGTTTTAACCATTTGTTTTGTACAGAATATTCTAGTTTAGATATAGTTAAATTTACCAGTCATTTTCTTTCTTTTGTATTATGTTTGTTGTTGTTGTTATGCGCTGTCAAGTTGGCCCTGACTCATAGCGACCCCTCCTTGGGTTTCCAAGGCAGTATCACTACGGAAGTAGATTGCCCCACCTTTCTTCCGAGGAGTAGCTGGTGGGTTTGAACCGCCATACTTCTGGTTAGCAGTAAGGTGCCTTTGGCACTATGCTACGAGAGCTCCTTGTATTATGTTTAGAAAGGCTTTTGCCCCTTAAAGATTATAAAAAATTTACTCTCTCTTCTCCCTTTCATCCAGGATTATTTATTGCTTCTGTTTCATAGGATAAGATTATATATATATATTTAATCCTCAGATGTTATGTTGTTCCTGGGTACTGTCAAGTTAGTTCATATTCAGAGTGACCACTGTGACAGAGTAGAACTGCCCCATAGGGTTTTCTTGGCTGTAATCTTTATAGAAGCAGATTGCCTGTTCTTTTTCCCATAGAGCCACTGGGTGGGTTTCAACTGCTTAACTTTTGGGTAGCACCCAAGCAGCTAACTGTTGTGGTACAACAGTCTCCTTCAGCTCAGATGGCTGGCCCAAAATATTTGTTGAATATTATATCATTTTGTTAATGATTTACGAATTCGTTTTTGATTATATAATGAAAGTATTGCGTTTGCATCTACTTCTGGGCTGTGTTCTACTCCTTCAATCTACTTGTCTATTCCAGAATTATTGCTTGATGAGCTCTGGTAGCATAGTGCCTGAGGCACTTGACGGCTAACCAGAAGGCTGGCGGTTCAAACCTACCAGCCACTCCTTGGAAGAAAGGTGGGGCAATCTACTTCCGTAGTGATACTGCCTTGGAAACCCAAGGAGGGGTGGCTATGAGTCGGGTCCGACTCAACGGCACATAACAACAACAATAAATTTTAATATTCTAATCTAGCCCCTCTCCCCTTGTCTAATGGACAGATCAGAGCTTGTGGAGTAGAACATGAAAGAATAACACTGAAGTCCTTTTGCCAAAAGATCTTAAAAAATTCTGAAAAAGAAAAGAGGATATTAAGTATATAACTGTTGAAATGCATTATAGGACTCTAGTGATTAATGTGTTAAGATATCAAAAACTAGAAATAAAGGTAATACATGAAAATACATTTTTTTTAGCATAGTGACTGATCAGTGTTAGGTACTGAATGTACATAATGAATGTTTTATTAATTACTTTTTTGTGTCATTTCTCCAAACCTCACTTTTCTCATCTGTAAAATAGGAATAATAATAGGTATTATATATATTGGGACAAACCAAACCCGTTGCCCTCAAGACGATTCCAACTCATGGTGACCCATGTGTGTCATAGTAGAACTGTATTCCATAGGGTGTCAGTGGCAGTGATCTGATAGAAGTGGATCATCAGGACCTTTCTAATGAGGTGCTGCTATGTGGATTTGAGCTGCCAGTCTTTCTGTTAGTGGCCAAGCACACACCATTTCTGCTACTTAGGGACCTCATTATACGTATAATTGAAGAATAATAGAGTTAATATATGTAAAGTGTTTAGTGTAGAGCCTAGCTTATATAATAAGCACTTGATAACTTATAAATATTTCATTTATCTCTTTTAATGCTCACAACAGTCTTACTTTTGGCTAATATTGAGAATAGCAATGGTTTAAAGACTTTTCTAGAAGGTAGCAGAGTAAGACTTAAACTTAAGTCTTTCTGAACCCAAAGTCCATGCTGCTAACTAAATATGCTATTTTGTAGTAATGCAAGTTATTTTATATGCTGATCAAAGTAATTTGTTAGTAATACTTATGTTCCCATATTTAAATAAGTTAACACATTGCCATCGAGTTGGATCCTACTCATAGTGACCCCTCCTTGGGTTTCTGAGGCAGTGTCATTATGGAAGTAGCTCACCCAACCTTCCTTCTGAGGAGTGGCTGGTGGTTTTGAACCGCTAGGCTTCTGGTTAGCAGTCAAATGCCTTAGGCACTACGCTACCAGAGCTACCTTAAATTAGTTAATCTACTAAAATTAATGAAATGAGTTGAACACAATAGTATCATTTATAGGGAGATAGAAAATAACATTGTTTAAAAAGGGAGGCTCTTTCACACCCTGGTATATACCCAATGGAATGAAAACATGTCCACATGGAAACTACAGGAATGCTCATATTCAGCATTATTCAAACTAGCTTAAAAGTAGAAACAAACCAGCTGTCTATCCACTGATAAACGGATAAACAAAATGTGGTATATCCATACAATGGAATATCACTCAGCCAAAAGAAGAAATGAGGATAAATGGTACTGCATAAGTGAACCCATAATAGCATGTGAAAGAAGCCAGCAACAGGCCATCAATTATATGTTTCCATTTATGTGAAATGTCCAGAATAGAGATGAAAAAAAACAAACCCACTGGCATAGAGTCAATTCTGATTCAGTGACCTCATAGAGCAGAGTACAACAGCCCCATAGGGTTTTCAAGGTGTAATTTTTATAGAAGCAGACTGCCACATCTTTCTCCCATGGAGAACTGCCTATCTTTGGGTTAGCAGACTAAAACTTAACCACTGTATGACCAAGGCTCCTTCAGAATAGAGACAAAAAGTAGATTAGTGGTTTCCAGGGTTTAGGTAGGAGGGAGGGGGAATGGGAAATTGCTGATGGCTATGAGTATTTATAGGAGCTCTGGTAGCATAGTGCCTAAGGCATTTGACTGCTAACTAGAAGGCTGGCAGTTCAAACCCACCAGCCACTCCTCGGAAAGAAGGTTGGGCAATCTACTTCTGTAGTGACACTGCCTTGGAAACCCAAGGAGGGGTCGCCATGAGTCAGGTACTACTTGACGGCACATGACGACAACAACAACAATGGGTATTTATGGAGAGATAATTAAAATATTCTGGAATTAGATAGTAGTGGTGATGGTTACACAGCTTTGGGAATATACTAGAAACCACTGAATTATACATTTTAAATGGGTGACTTTTGTGGTATGTAAATTAAATCAATTTAAAAGGGGGGGAGTCTTTCTGTTTGAACCTCAGTTTAGCTGCTTGTTTGCTTTATGTACTATGCAGTTAATTAAGTTTTCTTATCTGTAAAATGCATTTACCTTTGTGTAGTTATGAAAATTGTACATAAAATTTCTTAGCATAGTGTCTCACAAACAAGAAGCATTCACTAAGTGTTAGTTATTGGTATAAATATTATTGCCAGTTTCAACTTGCCTAAACATGGATAATTTTTTTTTTAAACGATAATTCTGATTAACCTTTATAAGATGCATCCTATGTGAAGTGTTCAATGTTTGATACACAGAGTCCAGAATATATCTGCATTGTTGCTTTTGATTTGTAAGTGAAACAGAAATAAAATATTGATTTGAAATGTTAACTGTTTAACTTTTTGTACAGTGTACCAATTTCAAAGTAAAGTTTTAAAATAGACATGAAAAAGTATTAAAAACAATTCCTTATGAATTGAAAAATTAAATAACAAAAAAAAATTACCTGTGCTCACGGCAGTGCTTACACCTTTTCTCATGTGCCAATTTATGAGTGCTAATCTGAAGACATTTATACTTTCACTTTTAAATTTATACCTAGAACAAAGTGCTTCTAATGACTAATGATAATGATGTTCTACATTGAAGAAGTTTCATGATACACTGTAGTTGAAATGTGAGACAGTATATTTAAAAGTTATATATAGTTGGGAAACATTGTAATTAATTAGACTCTGCTGCCATTTACTTCACTGTGAGTTTACAGTATGTTTGTAATTGATACAGATTCAGCGTTTATTGGAAGCACAGTCTCTGCAGCCCTGTTCCCCTAAGACAGCCACTGTTGAAGACAGTGTAAGACAAGTGGAGTTGATTTCCACGGAAGCACAGTCTTCTCCTGGCTTGCACATGAGAAAAGGTGTAAGCATTGCCGTGAGCACAGGTAATTTTTTTTTTATTATTTAATTTTTCAATTCATAAGGAATTGTTTTTAAAATACTTTTCCATGTCTATTTTAAAACTTTACTTTGAAATTGGTATACCGTACAAATAGAACCAAAACCAAGGTGATCAGAGTATAACTTATGTAATTTTCTCTTTATGAGATGAAACTATACCTGAAGACAGACATGAAACCATGTAACGTGATACATCGGTTATTTTTGCTACTATCCCCAGGCTGGACCAACTCTAATAAAAGAACTCGTCTGTAGTTTGCGGGATCAGGAAAGTTTCATGTGTACCTGGGCCTTGAAGGTTATGTAGGATTTAAATAGGTGGTGTTGAAAAATGGGAGAATAGATTGAGTAGAGGAAACAGTATGAGTTCAGTGGAAGAACTTAAGACACTATGAGTTGTCCAATTTGACTGGAAACATGAAACATAAAAAGGGAAAATGTGATAGTAATAACAGTTTGTGGTGTTGACGAAGAATATTGAATGTACCATGGATGCTAGAAGAACAAACATCTATCTTGGAGGAAGTACAGCCAAATGTTCCTTCGAAGAAAGGATGGAAGACTTCACCTCTCATGCTTTGGACATATTATCAGGAGGGACCAGTCCCTGGAGAAGGACATCATACTTGGCAAAGCAGATGGTCAGTGAAAAAGAGGAAGATCTTCAATGAAATGGGTTGACTCAGTGGCTGCAACAATGAACTCAAGCACAGGAAAGATTCTAAGGATGGCACAGAACTGGGCAGTATTTCGTTCTGTTGTCCATGAGATCACTAAGAGTCGAAACAGACTTGAAGGTACCCAACAACAATAACAGCTAATGTTTATTAAGCATTTATCATGTGCCTGGCATTATTCAAAGTGCTTGATGTATAACTGGCAAATCTGCAAAAGAAAGCAAAGATATCATTTTCAGGACTAAGGTGTGGTGTGCCTAACCCACGCCGTGGTATTTCCAGTCACTTTATATTCATGTGAAAGCTGGACAATGAATAAGGAAGACCAAAGTAGAATTGATGCCTTTGAATTGTGGTGTTGGCTAAAAACACTGACTATACCATGGACTACCAGAACACATCTGTCTTGGGTGAAATACAGCCAGAATGTTCATTAGAAGCAGGATGGTGAGACTTTGTCTCATGTACTTTGGATGGATGAGTTATCAGGAGGGACCAGTCGCTGGAGAAGGATGTATACTTGGTAAAGTAGAAAGTCAGCAAAAAAAGAGAAAACCCTCAATGAGATAGATTGACACTGGCTGCAATGATGGGCTCAAGCATAGAAAAGACTATGAGGACGGTGCAGGACTGGGCAGTGTTTTGCTCTGCTGTACATAGGGTCACTGTGAGTGGTAACTGACTGAACAGCCCCTGACAACAACACTGGGTTTGAGTGAGTTGCTGAGACTGGGGATCCCTTGGGTAAGAGGGATGAGGAGGCTCAATTTTAGACTTTCCCATGAAGGAGCCATGCATGAACAGCCTGAGGCACACACTCACACTGTATGGCTAGGCAGATGTTGTTGTTATGTGCCGACTCATCACCACCCCTCCTTGGGTTTCAAAGGCAATATCACTACAAAAGTAGATTGCCCAGCTTCCTTCCGAGGAGTGGGTGGTGGGTTTGAACCGCCAGCCTTTGGTTAGCAGTCAAGTGCCTTTAGGCACTACGGTACCAGAGTTCCTGGCTAGGCAGATAAGTACATCAAATTCACATACTGCCCTGTATTAATTATTAAGATCCTTAGGCTGCAGTAACATAAACCACCTTGACCTAACTTACACAAGGAAGAGGGAGGAAGTTGCTCGAAGTATATGGGGATGTTTCACTGAAGAAACCAAGGGCAAATGGAGCTGAATAACAGAAAAGAATAGAACTAGAAACTGGAATAACACTAGGACTCTTCTGCTACTCTGCATGGCTCTTTTACTCAAAGTTTTCTGCAGTCTTGCTTTTACTGCTTCTCCTGACTCAGAGGTCTAAATTTTATGTCTGTTACATAGTTCTAGCCATGTCTACAAATGAGCTTACTATCCCTCAGTCCCAATTTCAAATTCCAGAGACTCTGAATGGCCTAGTTTGAATTAGGCTTAAAGTCCTGGAACAACTTTCTAGAAACAGAGCCACATCTTTCTCCTGCAAAGTCGCTGGTGAATTCAAATTGTCACCCTTTTGATTAGCAGCCGAGCACTTAACCACTGCACTACCAGGGCTCTTTATAGGCCAGTGAGGGCTGTTTACTACAAAAAGATCACACTCTGGATTCTCAACAATTACAAAATATAGCTTTATTTATAGAATCTTACTCTGGTAGCTTAGTGCCTAAGGCACTTGACTGCTAACCAGAAGGCTGGTGGTTCAAACCCACCAGCCACTCCTCGGAGGGAAGATGGGGCAATCTGCTTCCGTAGTGATACTGCCTCAGAAACCCACGGAGGGGTCGCTATGAGTCAGGGCTGACTCCGACAGCACATGCCAACAACAAATAAAACATTTATAGTCCACATAAGTTATTCTCTTTTCTAATTTCTTCTCATGACACCTGAGTTATTTTTAAAAAATACTGTAATGGAACTGCAGAACTGTAAAGGGAAATATGAATAATAAAGACCTAATCTCTATCTTTTGAAAAAAAAAAAGTCCTGGATCAATTGTAAAGAGGAGTCTAGAATCACGTAATTGGCTGCAAGCCCACTTCTTTGGGTTGCAGAGGTGGCAGTTCCCAAGGAAAGCTGGGTGAGTAGGTGGGTGGGTGGTGGAGGGGTGCTTGTAAAAGAGATGTGGGTATTATGAGCTAAGTAAATACACCAAAAAAGTGTCAGTTTCCCTCTATGTCCTTGTAAAATTGTGTTTTTTACTGTTAAAATTGCTCATTAAGGAGCTCTGGTGGCATAGCAGATAAGGCATCTGGCTGCTAACCAGTTGCTTATTATCTGAATCTGCCACTAGTCTAAACTTTGTAGATCTGGGATTTAGAGTAGGTGCTGAATAAATATTAATGGAAGCCATTCATGTGTTTGAAATGATTTTCTGAGAATTATTTGAAAGATATTTTCAAACATGATTTTTAAACTTCATAAATTCAGAGTTAATTATTTACAGAAAAATAAATTGTTAATAGTTTCTTTAACTAAATGGACTTTAGAAGCACATTCTACAGTACTTAGGAAGGTTTTTCCAAAATTTTCCCTGTTTTTGTTTCTTAAATTAAAATTATAAAAGTTTAATGCATGTACAATTGAAAAATGCTTTATTCATTTATTTATTATTTATTTTCATAGAACCACTCAAGTGGACCATCAAGTTTACTTTTTGATTTATTTTTTGAGTTTAACCATTTCTTTAAACCACTGTATATGAAACAGTGTTTTCCTGTTTGTGGCGTTCATATCATTTATGGTAAAACGATGATTTTGGGTGGTATACAGATGAATATTTTATACTTTTTAGATATATTTATTCTTAGTATTGGAAAAATATAATTAGCATATCAAATCTGTGATTTCGTAGATATTATTGCTTTGATAAGGAGCTCTGGTGGCATCATAGATAAAGATTTACAGCATTAGAAAATTGACTGGACAGTGATTTTGGTTTTTTGGTTTTATTATTTTGATGATAAGGGTAAGTGATTTAAAGAAATATAATAAGCAAATAATAATAAATGAACATAGCTCTGCAAATATTGTGAAAGTGATCCATAAAATTTGGGAGACATTTGTCAGAGAATTCAGGTATTCTGTGTTTTCTTAACTCTTTATTCTTGCCAAAACCACCAGGTATTTTAAATACCTACTGATATTACACAAGTCTGATGCATTGCAAATATAGACTCATAAATACTGCATTTAGGGATCAAATCAGAGAGCCAGGAAATTTGTATTTTATATGTATTTCTCTAGGTATTCAAAATAGAAGTTTCCAACACCCACTCCCCACTCCAAATTGTATTCAGAAATTTAATATGCAAAACAGATCATTTGGAACCACCTCCTCTTGAAAGAACCTTGGGAGATTGGTCAGAGCCCCAAAAGACCACTTTCCTTTTAATTCCTTAGCTTTCCACCCTTTACCTACCTGTTGGTGGCATTTCTGAGGAAATACAAAGTTCTAGGTAATTGCATTAAAATAGCATAGCTAGTCCTACTTAAATTTGTTTGCCAGAGAATTATTTTTAATAGTTGAATGTTTATTTCAGAATTTGTTAAATTATTTAACCACCAGGTGCTAGCTTGTTTTGGAATGCAGCAGGTGGTGATCAAGAGCCTGAAACTCAGCAGAAGCAAGATGATACCAAAATTTCCAGTGAGGATATGAATTTTTCTGTTGATATTAATAATGAAGTCACAAGTCCTCCAGGTAGTGCATCTTCATTAAGAGCTGTTGATATTCCCAGTTTTGAAGAGAGCAACATTGCTGTGGAAGAAGAATTTAATCAACCCCTCTCTGTATCCAAGTAAGGATTCTGATTCAGTATTTCATCCTAATTTTTTTCTCTTCTTAAATTCCAAAACTCTTTTGGTCTTCTAACTCAGAAACTATTTGCCTTCTAAATGTTAATTTCATTGATATCCTTGCCTGATATGGTTCCTATGTAACTGACAGACCTGAGCCTTCTAGAATCACTCCCAGATGTCAATCATTAGACATGTTATAGTCTGACTGAATCAGAAATCTGAAGAATACTTCAAAAATACATGCCTTACCTTAGTAATTTTGATACATTAGGTCCCAGAGGGATACGGGGCCTCAAATTTTGTAATTTTCAAAGGTACCTTATATTGCAATTATATATAAAGATCTTTATTTTTGAGAAACACAACTTGAATATTTATAGATGAAACTATAGTTATCTGGGATTTGCTTCAAATAAGATGAAATGATTAGGGGTATAGTTGAAACAAGATTGGCTGTCATTTGGCAAAGGAGTAGGAAAGGCAGGAGACAGATTATGTAGGACGTGGAAAGGAATTTTTACTTTATTCTACATTCATTAAGAGAAGCTGTGGTGGCACAATGGTTAAATGCTTGGCTGCTAACCAAAAGGTCAGCAATTTAAACCCACTACCCATTCGCAGAAGAAAGATGTGGCAGTCTGTTTCCATAATGATTACATCCTTGGACATCCTGTGGGGCAGTTCTACTCCTTCCTATAGGATTGTTCTGAGTTAGAATCAACTCAAAGGCAACAGGTTTGGGTTTTTTTGGATTTTTAAAACCAGTGGAGGATTCTAGACAATGGAGTATTATAAGCTGATTTTTGTTGTTTGAAGACTATTCTAATTTTGTTTTGTTTTGTCTTAAAGGAGCCCTGGTGGCAAAACTGTTAACCACTAGACTGGTAACTGAAAGGTGGTCTGTCTAAACCCACTCAGTGGCTACCTGGGAGAAAGAATGACGATCTCCTCCCGTAAAGGTAACAGCCTAGGAAACCCTGTGGAGCAGTTCTACTCTGTCACATAGGGTTGCTGTAAGTTGGAATTGACTGAACAGCACCCAACAATAATATAACGGTTGTTTTTGGGATAATAAACTGAAGAGAGCTAAGGGTGGAAGTAGGGAGACTGGTTAGTAGATTAGAAACCAAGTGAGATGAAAGTAACTTGGACTTAGGGTAGAAGTGGTAAAAGGAATCATATGTAGAATAAATAAAAGTAGAGGAATAATGTAAGTTTAAAACACCACAGGGTAATATCATACGGAGCAGTTAAAATAAGTGAACTTGGCAATGGGGCAGGCAGTAGATTACTATTTTTATAATAAATTCTGTGATAATATTTTGAGTTATTCTGATTATAATAAATATTAAAACAGTAAATAAGCCCTTCCAGTAAACTACTTTATTCTCTTCTCTCAGTATAGTGTGTATGTTAACCATGTAATTCGATTAAGTATATATAGTGTGTACTACAGTCTATTGAAAAGATCTTTTGTGTACATGTCTCTTGCACTGGATTGAGTTCCTTGGAGGTTAGGGATATTTCTTTCATTTTAGAACTTGACCTAGTATCTGATTTCCCATATTAAAACCAAAACCAAGCCTACTGCCATTCAGTTGATTCTGACTCAGAGTGATTCAATATGACATGGTAGAACTGCCCCACAGGGTTTCCAAAGATATAATCATTATGGAAGCATATTGAATCACCTTTCTGCTGTGGAGCAGCTGGTGGGTCCAAACTGCCAACCTTTTGGTTAGCAGCTAAATGCCTTAACCGCTGTACCACCTGAGCTCCTATTCTCATGTTAAGTGTCATAAATGTTCACCGATAAGAACAGTTTAGAGGGAACTTCAAGGTCCAATTTTATTTGAAATACTTGTAGAAATTAAAGACAAAGAGGAACAAAAACCGTGTTTATCCTTACTTATCCTTCTTAATTCTGTAAACTACAGACTACTTTCTGGAATTGTGGGTTTTCTACCATCAGCTAGTTTTTCAGTCAGAACTTTAAAAATCTCAGATCCATTGTGATTTTTAACTTCAGAAAGTAGACTTGAGTTAATTGATAGAAAGCAGTTAATTGCTTTTTCAAAGCAATTAATCAGCTCTATTGATTCTAGTACATAGCACTAGATGTAAATCTAATCTTTGTTCAGCATAATGTATTGATTTGGATTAAATAATATCTCCCTTGTTGTCCATGATGGTTTTACTGTATCTCTAGGATCCTTCCCAAACATCTGATCTGATTATTAAGTATTCGTGGTTGGCACCCAGTTCCATGGGTTTCCAGTTTCCCTCGGATGCCTTGCTGCCTGTATTGGTCTTTCTGATGTTAAAGCAGTCTGTGAAGGATACATTTACTTGCCTTCAGTTTAATTGGTTATTGATTGCTTTTTCCCAGTGGAGAGTAGTGGCATGTGGTATTTATAGAGAATTTTAAGACGATCCTTATTTTTCTTTAGAAGCCATGCCTTGAGCATACCTACTAATACTTGCCATAGTAGAACTGTCTTTTAAAGGTTTGTTTTTTTGTTTGTTTGTTTGGTTTTTTTTTTTTTTTTTTGCTTTTTGAAAACCATATTTGAGGTTTGAGTCCTTTAATGTTTTGGTTCTTTTTTCCTGTATTTTTCAACTTTTATTTTTGCTTGCTAGGTTAGACACCAAGACATACATATTTTTAAATCCTTGAAGATGCAGTGTAACAGTGATTAAAAGCATGGACTAGAGTGCTAGACTGCCTGATTGGAATTATAGCAGTGTGATATGGGCAGGTCTTATAACTTTGACTAGGTTTTCTCAACTATAAAATGGGGATAATAAAAGTACCTCCCTCAAGTGATTATTGCGAGAATATAATGAATTCATATATGTAAAGCATTTAGAACAATGCTTAGAAAGTTTTATTTAAGGCAAAAAATAAACTATTTACACCATAATACAAACCTTAGTACCTAAGTACCATTAGCATTTAGTTAAAGATAGAATAAGGCAAACTTAGTAACTGACATGGTCCTGCCTTAAAAATAAAGTGCTTTGCAAATGTTTAAATAATAATAAAAAAAATCGTTCAGTATACAAGTAATTTCTCAGATAGCCATAAAATCTCTGAAGACTAAATTTCTGCTTCTGCATTTGAAAGTTTTGATGTTTTCATTAAAGTGAAATAGTTCACATGGTTGAAGATAAAGGCTTAATCTGATATTTGGACACATGGAGAGAAGATGAAGAGAACTAGCAGTTATTATCACCTGCAATTTATATTTGGTACTATCTCCTTTAATCCTATCTCAATTTCTTCAACCCTGAGAGGTGGGCATTGTTTTCCTTGTATTATAGATGTGAAAACTGAGGCCCACAGAGATTAAGAAATGTGCCCAAGACATGATAAACACACAGATAGCTGTGTAATATAAATGAGAACACATGTGACATTAAGTGATAAAAGGAAGGAGAAAAATAAGAGAGATAAAAGGAAGGGGTTAATGAGAATTAAAAGAAGCCCGGGTGGCACAACAAGTGCTAGGCTACTGACCAAAGGTTAGTACCCAGCAGCTCCTGTAAAGATTGAAAACCAAACAACCAAACCCACTGCCATGGAGTTGATTCTGACCCATAGCGACCCCCACTGGATTTCCGAGGTAATTAATTTTTACAGAAGTAGATTGCCCCGTCTTCCTCCTGTGGAGCGGCTGGTGGGTTTGAACTACCAATCTTGTCCCTGGTCCTTTTTTTTTTTTTTTTAATGATTTAGTAGTCAAATGCCTTAGGCACTATACCACCAATCTCCTCGCTGTAAAAATTACAGCCTAGACATCTTATCTAACCTCTTATTTAACTGTAGTAAATGGACCAAAACCTGGAAATTAGCATTAGTATAGTACTATGAACAGCAAAATCAATTCTGATAGTACCAGTTTTTCCATTAATGTCCTTTTTCTGTTCCAGGATCCAGCATAGGATACCACATGCATTTAGTTGTTATGTCTCCTTAGTCCCATTGTCACCATTCCTCCCTCTTTCCTTGTCTTCTATTGGTTGGTGGGTGGTTATGTGCCGTCGAGTCAGACCCAACTCATAGTGACCCCTCCTTGGGTTGCCAAGGCAGTATCACTACGGAAGTAGATTGCTCAACCTTCCTTCCGAGGAGTGGCTGGTGGATTTGAACCATCAGCCTTCTGGTTAGCACTCAAGTGCTACCAGAGCTCCTTGTCTTCTATTATTGGGACACTTTTGAAGAGTTGTTGTTGTTGATAGGTGCTGTTGAGATGGCTTCAACTCATAGCAAGCCTATATACAACAGAATGAAACACTGCCCAGTCCTGTGCCAGCCTCACAATCCCTGCTACACCTGAGTCCATCGTTAACAGCAACTGTGTCAATCTGTCTTGTTGAGGGCCTTCCTCTTTTTTGTTGACCCTCTACTTTACTGTTTTGGTTACCTAGTGCTGCTCTGACAAGAATATACCACAAATGGGATGGCTTTAACAAACAAGAGTTTATTCTTACAATTTGGAGGCATTAAGTCCGAGTTCACAGTGCCAGGCTGTAGGGGCTGTGTGAAAGCCCCTCAACCTTGGGCTTCAGCTCTGCCTCTTGCTCCTGGACCACTGAAGCTAGAGGCATCTCTTCACTTAGGCAGCTACTGGCTGCTGACGCTAACAAGCCGAAGGTCAACAAACAAAATGGCATAGTCCTAATGTTACCAAAGAACACGGCAGGCCATTGATTCAAGTCCATTGAAAGTCCCAGGATTGGCAGAGCATGGCAGGCTGCTAAACAATGGCTCGGCTACATGCAGGTTTCAATCATGCCATAAGCTAGAGACCATTCCCCAAGGCTTCTTCTTATGTACGGGAGGCAGACCACGTACCCAAAGGCAGCAACTCAGCTGCTCCCAGTAGATTCCACCATGGAGTTGATTACCAGTCTCACCATGGGGAATAACTCCATTCAGCTGCCCAGCCACTCAACCAGGGCCAGCCAAGTTGACACACAACGTAACCACCATGTT